AAAAAAAAAAAAAAAAAAAAAAAAAACTGAAAACCTAGCCGAACCGTGCATTTCGGTGCGGTTTTGTTCGGTTATTTTAGTGAAAACAAAAATTGATTCGGTTTTGGTTCGATTTTATCTAAATTGCAGTGCGCTTCGGTTGTTGTTTTTTTTCCGCTAAGGTTCGGTTTTCGGTTTTTTTTGCAGTTCGGACCGCCGCTACTCACTCACAACAAAATTATCTAAAAAATCTACTAATCTGATCATGGTATGATCTGCATGCATATAAAGCATTTGAATGACTTGTGCACCTTCTAATTCTCATCTACTTCCTTCACCCTTTCCCATAAACCATTACATCCAAAAACAAAAGTGAATTCATGCTCTCCAATAGTTGATCTCCATTCACAAGTAGCTCATAAATTTGAAGACCAAAAAACACACTCGAAATCATCGACAAGTTGCTTATAATAGAATACCGAAAACTAAACCAGACTTGAAAATCAAAACGAGCTCACTTGAGTTATGTGTATGGTCTACCCAACAATGAAAAAACTTCAAACAGATTTCTGTGACAGAAAACAATACCTCTGACCAAAGAGAAGTCTCTCCCAGACTGCACTGAGTACTGACCATTCCACTGGATTACTCTCTGGCTACAATACAGCATCTCAGACTCATTATAAAAGCTCGGAATATCTCAGTGATGAACGAAGCATCAACTCGATTCTTTTCAAGTTTCGAGGGACTAATCTTCATTGAAGTATATATTTATCTGACATTACACATTACATACCTTACATTTTACCCTAAATACTAAACACAAGTTTCCATCATCATTTTGCGGCATTGTATATTTCAAACTTAAGAGGTGATAAAACACAGGACAGTTATCCTCCAAATTGATGAATTGTAATTTTTGTACACATTCTAGGACAACAGTGAATTATAAACCATAGTATCAGAAAAGTATTACATAATAAATGACACTTGACACCGAATTTTAACGGAAGTACAAAATACTTGGTCCGTATATCGGTAAACAAAAGAGCCTAATTTCTAAAATCACAGCTGTCTCACAAGAATCACATTCTGTGGACAAACAGAATGGTTTCTGTACCTGGTAATCTCTATATCGAAATCTTACACTTGATCTTATAAGCCTTTATGCAGTAGATTTGGAAAATATGCACGGGAATAATGCACGTCAAAATCCTATGGATATGCAATGCAGCCTTTGCTCAACAGATACATGTCAACTCGCAGTTAATCTTATGCAAAAAGGAATCAACATATTGGTGCACTAAATATTACATAGGAAGCACAATGCCATAAAGACGCAGATATTCTATTTCACAAAGCAGCGAACAAGCATAAAGCAAACTCTTTCCTAGAAGCCAAAAAAAAGAGAACATGCATTCAAACTCAGGCTCAACAATGGAAAGATCAACAACATGGCCACCACAAAGAGCAGAAATCACTACAGTGTGCATCTTTTTAATTTACACACAAAGAATCTATATCTATTCCTGGACCCATCACTAAATAGAAGAACTTTGTATAGCATAATGCAGGAACGAACAATTTACATGAAGGGAATTCAAAAATCTAAAGAAGTGATTTCAAGTAGAGTTCAGAGGTGGGAGGATCAAACATGAAAATTGATACCAAGATTATTGATCTTTTTTGAAATGTAGTTAAAAAAAATGTGAAGGCTGCCATGGTGTCAACTATAATGGCAGAAGCAAAACCAAGGAGCCAAAAAGTCAAGGGGTAATGATAATCCTTGTTCAATACTATGAGCTTTATACTAGCTGAAATTGAATAACAAGCATGTCTATCAAAACATAATTAACAATATATTACTATGATCACTCGATAGGCGTCACAGTAGACAACACACTACATGACACCAGTCTAAGAATCCGCTAAAAAAACACAAATTTGCAAGGCCATAAAAAAGCAGAGGATATTCAGACATTCAATATGATATCAAACCTGACAGTAGTATAAAAGCATCCGTTCAGAAACAAAACAAATTCAACCACAGTACAACCACAGGTCTATGTTTTCAAAAGCATTTACAGAGTAATCCAAGATAAAAAGACCTGGTAAAAAAGCCCTACAGCATCCGATATACTCCGCCCAGCTGAATTAGGATTCTTTACTATTGTTCTGAAAACTCCATAATCTCTAATGAAGTTTTCTTCACAATTGCAGAAGCCTTCTACTCCAACCACTCAGTGCTGTGCCCACTGGATGCTCTTGATATCAATCCCATCCTTATACATCTCATACAATGGGCTCATCTCCCTCAATTTCTCGACCTGCTTAACAGTAAGCTCCACCGCCCGATCAATCTCCTCCTCTGTCGTGAATCTCCCTATCCCATACCTTATCGATGTGTGGGCCATGTCCTCATCCACGCCCAAAGCCCTCAACACATACGAAGGCTCCAAACTCGCGCTCGTGCAAGCACTGCCACTCGACACAGCAACCTCCTTTAACCCCATCAACAAGCTCTCACCTTCAACAAACGCAAACGAAAGATTCAAATTGCCTGCGTACCGGCTTTTTTCACTCCCATTCACTACAACGCCTTCCAATTTCCCTCTAATCCCATTCAACAATCGTTCTTGCAATGATTTTATCCTCCTGTCATCATACTCCAGTTCCTTCATCGCCAGCTCACACGCAGCACCAAACCCAACAACCAATGGGGTCGGTACTGTCCCACTTCTAATCCCCCTCTCTTGCCCGCCGCCGTTCATTTGAGGCTCCACACGGATCCTCGGTCTACGCCTCATGTACAAAGCCCCAATCCCTTTTGGCCCATATATCTTATGCCCACTAAGGGACATCAAGCTTATGTTCATTTCATTCACATCGATCGGTATCTTACCTAAAGCCTGGGCAGCATCCGAGTGCAGAGGGACGTTGAATTCCTTACATATTTTTCCAATTTCCGCCATTGGCTGTATCACCCCAATTTCGTTGTTCACCATCATGACGGAGACCAGCCCGGTGTCGGGCCGGATGGAAGCCCGAAGCTTCTCCAAGTCTACAAGCCCGTCGGGCTTAACAGGGAGATAGGTGATTTCGAAGCCCTCCTGCTGCAGATGGCGGCAGGAATCGAGGACGCACTTGTGCTCGGTCTGGGTGGTGATGACGTGGCGCTTCTTGTCCCTGTAGAAATGCATGACGCCCTTGACAGAGATGTTGTTGGACTCGGTGGCGCCGGAGGTGAAGATGATTTCCTTCGGGGAGGCGTTGATTAGGGCAGCGACTTTGGCGCGGGCCGATTCAACGGCCTGCTCCGATTCCCAGCCGTAGAGATGGGTGCGCGAGTGAGGGTTTCCAAACTGGGAGACATAGTAAGGAAGCATAGCGTCGAGGACCCTCGGATCCACCGGAGACGTTGCCTGCATATCGAGGTAGAGGGGTCTGCCGGAGATTTTGACCCCTTTCATCGATATCCCACCGGAATCCTGCTCAAGAGGCTCGACCGCGGCAACGGATGCGGCGGTGGAAAGTGGGCGAAGGTTGAGGGCGGCGGCGGGCTTGAGTAGGGCTCGGCGAATAACGTTGCCTAGAAGCTTCGAGGCCATCGTCGTCGAGTCCAAGTTCCTTGGCTTGTACCGTGTGCAGCAGCTGTTATACCTCGAGTTCTGAAAGTTCGAGTAAAATGATAAACGCGAGAACAATTAAGTGAGACTGCAAAGGTCCGTATATATAAAAAGCGGCTGTGGTTTATCCACGTTTCTAACAATAAAGCTTGAGGAGTAGCAAATCACTCCCTATATATTAATTCAAAACGTGTTGAGCTTAGGTAACAAATTCTCACGCTTCGAATGTTGACATGGTAAAAATTTATGCTTCGTGATATTTTTTTCATATTATTTTTGTGCTGGATTTAAGTTTGGTATTCGACATAAATAACTTTACACATATATTCATTAACTCACACTCATGTTGTACATGAGTATTAGTACTAGTTTGGTCTATTGTAAAATTGAACAAAATTGGTCTGCTTTTAATTTGAGTTGCACGTTTGGTCCTAGCCTATGAATATTAACGAAACGAGACGTTTTTTTTCTGGCTTGCAAGGTCCTTAAAGAAAAATATTTTTGGAAAAGGAATTTTATAAATATGTTGTCCAAATGTCGGATTCCTGATTTTGGAAGAGTTGGTTATGTGCCAAGAAATCTCTTAGTTTAGGAGCAAAATATCACGGGGGATGATTCTTCAATTAGTGTATAGAATTATCCTTGGATCCCAAACAACACTTCTTTTAAACTTGTTTGTGTCTTCAGTGGGAATAGAGATAGAATTTTCAGGGTTAGTGATCTCGTGAAGACTATAAAGTATAGAAAGTGGAATTCTGGTCTTATTTTTCAAACTTTTATCCCTAAGGATGTTGAACTCATTTTGAAAATTCCATTGTCAAAACTTGGAATGAAAGACATACTGATTTGGAATGAGAGCAACAAAGGGATGTTTTTAACAAAAGAGGCCTACAACACTATTCTGAATGTTCATAGGGAGAGGATGTGCCAAGTCGGTACAAGTCAAGAGTGCTTTAGTATGACAAGAATGTAGAAGAAAATATGGAAGTTGCCCATCAAAAGTAAGGTGAAATTTTTCTTGTGGAAATGTTGATTCCAATTTATGAACTCAAAGATGTAGCTGAAATCCAAAGGGATGGAAATGGATCCATTTTACTAGGTATGTGGGAATGATGAGAAATCCCTGAATCACATCATGTTTACTCGTGAAAAGGCAAAGTTGGGTTAGAAGTTAAGTGGTTTAGAGTGAGTGGTTAAAGGAGAGGAGGTGAAGGATTTTCAAAAGTGGTGGTTATATATTTGTCTAGCTGAAAAAGTTGCTTGCATAGAAGATAGATTATCCATATCAGCTCATCTCCTCTGGAATCTTTCAAAAGCTAGAAATAAGTGGCAGTACAAAGGGGATTGGATACATGAGAAATAGGTGGTAGAGAGTGCTAAGTCTGAGTAGTTAGAGTGGAAGGAAAAGAAGAAAGTTGAAGAAGCCTTTTCGTTTAAAGGCTTTTACCAGAGACATCCTCTAAAACATATAAATTTTCAAAGGGAGTAGGATGTCCTTCTTTGACCATCAGTGCTTTGCTATCTATGGATGGGGTGACCTCTTTGTCTTGTTTAGCAACTTCAGAAAAAGGCAGAATACTTCAGTGGCAGGACAGTTCAGTGGAAGTTCAAAATCCAGTGGAGGCCTTGTACTGTGCAATCAAATGGAATCTATTAAAGGTCAAAGACCTGGCTTGGGATTCTTTGGTGTGTTACCTCAATGATGCAGAAAACACTGAAGACATTAACAGAAGAGTCTTGTACTCTGAATGCTGCCATGTTGTGGAGTTGGAGATCTTTGGTTTACTTGTTGTTTGCAATGTTAATTACATTGTCTTTGCTCCTGCTCTTTAGTGTGTTTGTTCAGTCTTGTGTAGCTTTGTAGGGAAAGTGTTTCACTTCTACGTATTCAAAGTTCCTTACTTTGGGTTGGATCCTTGTACTTTGCCATTAGTTGGTTGTACAAACTATTTAGCTCGAGTTTATATATTTCTTTTTTTCCATTGTAAAAAAAAAAACACTAGTCGTTAATTTGAAAAACATTAAAAAGAAAGACATCAATAATACTACCATCTAAATTTATAAGTTTGTTAGACATGGGGTATTCTGAATAATTATCAAAAGAAAATATTTCGTGAATAAGCCAATGTTTTTTATATGTACGAATTAACAATTTACAGTAACAATTGGTCTAATTTGTGAAGTTGTAAAAATATATTAGTAGTATTGAAAAGTATAAAAGTTGATGAGAAAGAGAATATTATGAGAATATATTAGTTTAAGTTTGGGAATGAGTTTGTCGGTTGGAGAAGAATTACTGTTTGTGTGACAGTTACTGCAAAATGAGTTTGAGAGTTAATTTTTTGGTTGAAGATGTTCTAAGTCTCATCACTTCGGGAATTATAATAGGGAGGATTATTCACTTGTTTTTGTATTAAAAGAGAATTAAGATAATAGTTTAAGGGAATTTAGTTTTTTTAGGTTTTTTTTAAGATTCTTTGATTTTATTGAAATAGTGAAAGAAAAATTAAGGATGTATAAACAATATCAATTTTTAACTGTCAAAGATACTGACAATATTCTTTTTTTTTTTCATTCCCTTGTTCTATTGGTTCTCCTTATTTTTCTCCAACTCCCTTGTCTTTTTACTTGTATTAACCTTTTTGCTTCTCTTTTAACAGTTAAATATTGCAGCTATTATGGTCCTAACAAATATTTATATAAAACCCTCTCAAGAACACACAATTTAGCAATTTACTCCACTTCATGTTTTTTGCTTCCATTTATTACAACTTTTTCAACAAGATCCTTTAAGAGGTATGCAAAGGATTTGTTTTTCTCTGCAACGAAAACAAGATTTATGCAATTTAACTGAAAATTCTTCTTTAACTTTTACAGAAATTATTTCATTAACTTTTTAGGAATATTTAAACTTGAAAAATCAACAATTTGTCTGTCTTGTCCTTCCACAATACAATGCCTATACAGTCCATTGATACCCCAATGAACCTGGAAAAAATAAACCCGAGAGCCGACTACCGACGAAGAAAATCAACGGGCAACTCAACTATCCAAGCCAACACTCAAAGAAGATCGTCCACGGGCAACCCGAGCATCAAAACCTACAAACCAAATTCCAATCCTCCAACCTATCTTGAAGCCTTAACGGGCTCGTGTCACGATTTTTGCAAGTATGGAATAAAACGCGCTTTGCCGGTCAAGCCATGGCGCCCGGTGGGTCGAAAGCTAGACAAAAATAGAAATGTCTTGTTGCCATTAAAGATATCAGATGAAGATCAAAGAGGAAAGAGGATTTCAGCATCTCCAAGAAAACTCCAGCCCAGTGTTTTGGTAAAACCGGAATCTCGAAAAACAGATGCATTTGGTAAACAGCTGAAAAAACCGCTTCTGAAAAGCGCAAGTGATACACGAAAAGACAAGAAAAGCAGTTTCCCACCAGTGAGTGGTTCGGTTTTACCAACAAATATCATAACTAACAAGAGCTTCCCGAAAAAAACATATAAGTCGGAAGCCAAAAGCGGTGCTGGAAAACCCGAGAGAGAGAAAACCAGAGTTGAAGATGTCCCGGAGAAGATCATACATGTGATCGAGCCAGAAGATAAAGAGCATTATAAGGAGAAAACCGGAAAATGGCCACTCATAGAAGAAAACCGGAAAATGGCTACAAGGGGTTCAAAAGTTATCATCCCCGAAGCGGAAAAAAAGGATATGGCATTCAAAAGGATGAAATTTAGGAAAGGGAAAGTTGTTGAGATCGAAAACGGGAAAGGTGGGTCCACTGACAGAAGTCTGAGGAAGCTAGTTTCTGAAGATAAGTTTGTTCGTGAGAATAATGATAAAAAAATTGTTCTTAGGCATCGGTCCATGGAACCAAAAGACGTGAATTCGGTTTTGACGAACATCGTGATTGAGGAGACGGCGAGTAAACTGGTGAAGAGAAGGATGAGTAAGGTGAAAGCTTTGGTTGGAGCTTTTGAAAGTGTCATGATCAATATTCAAGATTCTTGAAAGTTCAAGAATCGAGAACATCCCCTAATCATACATGCAGGTCAAGATTCTTTTTTCTTTATATTTTTTGTTTTCCTTAAATGATGCTGGAATTACAGGCACCGTGTTTATCAGATGTGCGCCCTACACAAATTCTCGGTTTTCTAAGTTGTATTACATAAGACAGCAAAGCTCACGATTGCAAAGCCTTTTATGACAGACTTGACCAGACTCGAGATGCATGGCCTTGGGGCTTGTAGGCCTTATATGGCAAATACTCGTGACTTATGGCGTAAAGTTGCTAATTTTAGTGTATTCAGATCTCTTGCTCCACTGTCTAGCATGAAGGCGTCGTTGATGTAAAAGGATCTGTAGTGTAGATTAGAGCATGGTTCTTTTTATGCCCTAAATGCAAAAGTGTTCTTGATTAGGGGCAAACAGCAAGAGACATAGCAAGAGACAGGGCTATGAAATGTCTCTCATTAGTTTCAATACTAAAATCAAACAAAACAATGATTGTCTTATATAGAAGTTATAGAAAATATAGACCTCAAAGTTGTAGTTTTTTTTATTTTTTTTTTTAATTTTTGTGTGTGTGTATGTGTGTTTTTCCTTGGCAAACTCCATCCAACCCAACTGCCCAAGTTAGGATATCCTGATTCCATCTAGCCAGAAGTTTCAGAGATTAATAGTCGAACGCTTGTACTTGCACGAATCAAATTTATGTACTACTTAATAAATAAAAAATAAAAATATGAACAACGTCGATTGCGACTCAATCTCGTCTCTAAATTTAAGTATGATGAGATTATAATTTGTGAGTTACTTCAAGGCAACCTAACTATCAGCTTACCTAGTCTTGGTCATGCAAATCGGGTTCGCCATGCTTTGCGCAGGCTCTGTCTGGGCCAAGAATGCCATGAACATCATGCTGACCAATGTTGTCGATGTTGTTGTCGGAAACCTATCTTATTTCCTGTTTGGTTTTGCCTTTGCCTTCGGCGAAGGCCCGACCAAGCACCCGGTCATAGGGACAACACATTGTGCTCTAAAAGACATCCCCACAAGATCCTATGATATCAACTTCTTTCTCTACCAATGAGCTTTCGCGATTGTTGTTGTCGGCATCACGAGCGAGTCGATTGCCAAGAGGACCCAGTTCAGCGCCTACTTAATCTTCTCATTTTTTTTATATCTGGGTCGATTGAAATGAAAGATCTTGGAAAAACCTAATATCACCCCGTCTTACAAATATAACGGGTGCAAAATGGGATATTTGTCATCAATCTAATTACACTAAGGGTCTGTTTGGTAGCCTTGATAAGGGATGATATCTCCCACTATGTTATTAATTCCAGCCATTTAATTTGTTTGGTTGGGACCCCTGAAGCCCGAAATAAGACCAAAGCCCGGTCAATCTGAACTCATTTCTTCTGATAATAAATCTCGTGTCTTTGATGAGATACCTTTTCCATCCATCTGCCCCTCTTTTCTCATTTACTATTTTGCCCTTTCTTAAATACATTTTCTTTACTTACACGTTCAGTTCACCTCTGTTCTCTAAAACCTAGGGTTTCTCTCTCATTTCGTTCTTCACCCCTGCGAAGAAGGCGAGTGGAAGGCGCAGCTCACGCATGGTTTTATAACAATAAAATCGCTCCATAAAAAAAGGCGAAGGCTAGTCGAATCACTGGTATGTAGATTTCAGTTGAATGGTTGTTTTTGTTGTTCTTTGGGGTGTGTCTCAATTATGAGACGAGTGTTTGCATAATACTCGTTCTGCTTTTTTGTTTGTGTACTTGTTATGGTCTTGTCAAATAAACTGGATCTAGCGTGGTTGGATATTGAAACTTTGATGTATTAGGCTTCCATGTTTCTCAATTAAACTCAATTTGGTGTCTGCCTGGGACTTTGCCGACCTAGCACACCCAACTTGTGACCATAATTCATAATTTTTTATGCCCTTGATAACAGTTTTGTAAAATTGAGCTTAAGGTTTAATTGTGTGTTATTAATTTCTGCATAAATAAGTTGATAAAGCTTTCTCTGGAATATAGTAAACATCAAAGTCGCTAGCCTGTGACTCGAGTTCCCAGTAAACTGTAGCCAAAGCTGGCTATAATTAACTTCCTGTCATCTGTAGGAAAAAAAA